TTTTTATGGACTCTCAATTAGGTCATAGAACTAAAGTGAGCATCTAGGTCCTCAATCTACTGTAGATTCTCACGTGAGTTCAACTAAAAAAGTGACCATTTAGGTCCTTCAACTAATGATGAGCCCGAGTAGAGGTCAAATCCCACCACATCACGTTTCTATGCCTAGTGGTTGTGCCATTCACAGTCACACGACGGATCGTGGATCTTAGTGGGGTTCCATGTCCCGGGAACGGTAATTCCGAATCGTGGTTCGGCACAACGACGGGCCAATGCTTGGGATGGGAGTCGGGATGATGTCCCAAAGCACACCAAATCATCGAGGCATATGCCCTACACACCCGGGAACTTAAAATTGTTGATCCACGTCCCACATACCCATTCCACTTGCAGAACCCTCTCCTCCATGTCCACTCCCTCTGCCTCCTGTTGGTCCTGTGCGTACTGGCCTCGCGGCTACGCCTACATGCTCACCTGTGCTCCGGAGGCACACGCTCAGCACCCATGGAACAAACAAATAGAGGTGGACTGCAAGAGAGGCAAGGACTGCTAGGGGAGAGAGATGGAGGGGTAGGGGATGTTTTTTTTTGCAATCTCAACTGGCACGGCAACATAGGCAACTGTCAGTGGCGTGGCGGGTTTTGGACCTTTAGTCGAGCGCAACAGAGATTGAGGACTTAGATGGTCACTTTTTTTAGTTCGTGGACCCAAATGAGATTTAGCAATTGATTAAAGACCTAGATGGTTACTTTTATTAGTTCAAGGACTCAAATGAGAATCCTAACAAACATTTGGGGCTTTTGAACACCATAATGACAAATAAACAAGCAGTCCAGTATACAAAGATAATCTTATGGATGTGACTAACAAGGACAGAATTGAAGCAAATAATTCTCTATAAAATGTTAATAAATCATGCATCCAAGCAATTCCAAACTTCATTAGGACAAGATAATCAAAACTCATGCATTTGTTTTGTTGTTTTACTTAGGAACTTTAATTTGAAAATAGAAGACATGAAGACTTTGAAGAACATGTAGAAAGAGAAGTTACAGGTGCCTCGCAGCGTTCTTGCAGTTGCTACATTGTACTAAAAGCTGCCTGTAGCCAACAACACCACACACCTCACAAACGAAGTCCTACATAAAAGTACAAACATGCAAATTTGGTTAATTCACAAAACCTCCCAATTTAAAATAACAAGCCTTCATGGCCTAAGTAAGCGCATATCAAAGTTGTGCTTGCACCCTGGTAAGGTGCTTGCCAGCAGGATTTCTCACGATTCTACCAATATGAATTGTAGTTGATACACAAAATCTAACACAACAAAAAAAAATCTCAATAGTGTTTCACGTTTCTGTGCTGTATATTTATCCAGGGCTCCAGGTGCCCACCTAATGCTTCGAAGTGTAGGAAATTGCCACAATCTCCTCGAGCTCCGATCTCCTTGCCCATTGACAATGGAAAGGCTTAGGAGACACGGCAGTAATAGCAGTTCCTAGATCAGTCACAACTGTGAGGTCCCATTTGTAAATCAGTATTGAATCTTGCAACGAAACCATGGTTTGGGTCCACAGACCACTGCAGCGTGTTTCAGGATGAGATATTTGACTATTTTTCTGCAAAACCAGGAGCTGAGGACTCCTCTTCGTCATGCACCCCACAGGCTACTATCTGAATCTGAAGGCTCCCCTCGAGCAGGAGCTCGCCCTCAACCTCGCCCCTCCTCAAAATAGTACCAGGCTACCAGCCCATGCCCAATTCCACGCATTCAGCACAAGAACAGGATAGGCCTAACATAACGCGACTCCACCCGATTCGATTCCCCTTCCCTCCCGAACAGACACACAATTTGTGTCCTACTAGAAGCCGAGCAAATGTAATCGGCATAATCTCGAACACCTTGCCCTCACAGAGTTGGTCGGCTGAACCCGCGAAACACTCTCTTCCGAAGAAATCGGCCAACCAAATAACGAAGAGAAATCAACGCGCCACACGAATGAAGAGGGTGGGAACTGGAGCGCGAGTGAGGAACTGAGGACCCGTACCATATCGCAGAGTCGCCGTGCCGTGAGAAGCTCCTCCTCGCCGCTGTCTAGATCCGCGCTGCGGAGGGCCTCAACAACGAGGCCAGAAGGGATGCGGCGCGCGCTGCCCAAACCATGCGCCCTTCTCCCCCATGGCTTCAGCCTCCACCAGCTTGCAGAGTGAGCGCCGCCGCCGCTGCGAGCGAGAGGGCGTGAGCCTCGCTTCGAGAGGGGGAGGGCAGAAACGGAAGGCGGCTGTAGCGTGTGTGGGCTTGGTCCTCGGGCTCGGGTCCGCTGAAATAGGCAGCAACTTTTTTTCTCGAAGGGATCGAAGTCGGCAGCTTCGGCGCGACACGTTGACAACATGCGCGGTTCACGCACCACACGTGGCGTTGCGATGAGTAACGGTTGCGACACCCGGCGGCCGCAGCGGCGAAGCCGATTTGTAAGCCTTTGGACAATTTTATCGGCGAAGAGACAAGCCTCGGGTAAGTTTATATTTATTTCTTAAAAATTAAAAGAAATTTAAAAGTATTTTATAATAAAGAAAATGTGAAGCACTTTCTAGATATTCTTTTTATCCATTAGATCCAAACAAACTTTTAAAAGTATTATTTTAGACTCTCGACTTTGTAGTTAATTTTTACTTTATATTTGAGGATTAAAAAAAGATCTACCTGTCTACTTGGCCTCCTAAATTTATTGAAGGCCTAACATCTTATTCCTAAATTTGAAATTTAAATTTTTAAAATTGTGTTGTAATAATATGTTAAGTCTAAATTGGTTTAAATTATGCATATACAATAATTTTTTATTTAACCGTGGAGGTAAAATGAATATCATGGAGGATTAACATGCTAAAAACTATAAGAAAATAAAATATGAGCTCCGTTTTAGATAGTATTGTTATAAAATAGGGGCTATTTAAACAGGCAAGTAGGAAGCCTGTTTTAGGTAATCCTACCAACGATGCTCTAAGTACATCAAAAGCCAGAAATTTTTTTTCTCCCGCTACCACTAAAGCAAGCTTATGTTTTGTTGTGGTTTCAAAAATAAAATATGTTATGTAGACAGGGAAGTTATACAAAAAATTAGTTTTATGATGCAAGGCTTTCAAATAATATTCTATAGGGAAGACTGAGAGTTATATAATAATTTTCTAATCTCGGTTATAGTTAGTACCACAAGGTCCATGCCCTTGTCTTCCTCTCCTAGCACCATTTTTCTAATTAATTGCACTACCGCCTGTGACGTTTTATCCCTTCACTTTCAAATCTTCTACCAAATCCAAATAAAACTAGCAACGGGTACTCTAAATCGACTGCTACACCCCCTAAGTCAGCCATTTGGCATCACAAAATCCACCTTCTTTGGTTTCTTTATGACCAAAATTGGAGAAACTCACCTTGATTTCCTCCTCTGTGCTCGCCCATGTCTGGAGCTCAGTCCGCCGACGATGGATGCCTAGACCGTCCCATCCACTCGGGGTGCACCATGATGCTGAATTTAAGCTTCATGGCCACCATCTTATTCTTCTCCCATGCTTTGACCAGAATGAGCAGGGTAATGCTAGAGTTTCTCTTGCCCCAACGAGATACTCCCTCTATAAGAGATAACGTAACCAAGGGGTACACCTTGTACAGAGTCGCCGCCGCCACCGCCGCTATGCCGACCCACCTAGGGCCCTCTCCTTCTTCCTCTCCGGTCCATCTGCCGGATACAAGAAGGGGAGGGGACCCATCCTTTTTTTCCGCAGTTTTCTATCTAGTTGATTAGGTTTAGTCTAATAAATCTTCCAGCGAAATTAGATAATTTTCGGGTCGGGATCGTGTTTCGTACGATGACTTCGGTGATTGCTGCGACGAGATCGTCGTTGCAAGCGTCGATTTTTATCGGCAGGTGGCCAATTTGCGGCCTTTATCTGCAACGAAAGGGGTGCTTCTGGGGGGCCCCTACGAGGACAACGATTCTGGGTCATCGATCTCATCATCGATGATCGCGAAGAGGAATTCAAGGTCTCCAGGTGATGGCTGCAGCCTATGTCGTACCCGACGATGCAACTGCTGATATTCTTTCAGCGATTTAGATGTGTTTTGGACTGGTTCCAAAGCGTTGGAACTTGTGTCATGTCCAATGTTTTGGGATTGGTCATTGGATTCGGCATAAGGACTGCACTTTGGCTCTGGCCTTCGAGGGAAGCCATTGTGGAAGAAGACGATGGAAGAATCTGAATAGAATATTATGTATTTTTTATTTCAGATTTATTTTTCTTGTGTAATTTGAAGATGTACAGTGCCAAAATTTTATATAAGTCCCCCTTCCTTTCGCAAAAAAATGAGGTACTCCCTTTGTTTTTTGTCAAACGAAGCTACCGCTACTTCGGCGGGTCTCTCTGATACCCTATGAAACCACCATTTCGGTCGCGTTGGGGTGGTCTCAACATGTTTTCATCTTTTAGTTTATTTGTTTAAAAACCTAGTTGTTCCCTTTTAAAAGCTAGCTCAATAGTTGGGTTGTCTGCTTCTTGATTGGTAGAAGGCAACAAAAATTTGAAACAAACAATCTCGCTCCATCATCTGTGTTGAGTATTCTTTTCAAAACTTGTGATGAGGAAAATGTAACATAAATGCTAAACATATTTTTGCCTAATATATACTAACAAATATGTCTAGAATATACACCTTATTGCACTATTATTTAAACGTCCTATGTCTCAAAGATTTATGTATTAGAATCGAACTTCGTGCCATTGTTGCATGCACAAACACACGGGCGGGTTGTGAGTCTGTATCAAATATATAATAACATCTACGATATCAAATTTGTTTGATTAAATTCTCTATGAAACATACTTGTAAGTGCATTTCTTGAAACTTTGTCGATGTTATCATATTTCAAAGTGAACTACTACGTCCAGCTAAATATATGGGATATAGAGTGAGAGATTACCCAGAAAGGAAACGCCTGGGTGTCTATGACGCTTCAGTGCCCTGGCGATCCCGGAGGCGATCGTCGACCCAGTTCGTCTCCCGATCCGAGATCCAGCTCTAACCAGACTCAAGTTCCGATTCCCGCCCAGATCCTTGTTCCTACGTCCCCAGATACCCAGGTCCGATACCCCAAAGACCAAAAACAGAGAGTAATAGCCCCTGTTCCTACATACCCAGATACACATGTCCGATACCCCAGAGTCCAAAGCGAGAGAGTGAAAGCCCTTAAGCTTTTCCGCCAAAAACAAATAGAGAAAACTGAGAGAGTGAGAGAAGGGATCAAGAAGCTAGCGACCCTTTGGGAGGCATCCAAAGCTAATATTCAAGAGGCGATTACTGCTGCAGTAACCCAGAGAACAAATGCAGGTGTTAAAGCCAGCCCTGATAGCAGAGGAGGAAATGATGAAACGCCCAGAATCGATGAGCACGACTGTGGAGCAATTGCCGAGAGCAATGAAGGTATTCATGCATCCATTAACAGGGCATCACAGGGGCCTTCAAAAGGGGAGGCTGCAAGGCAGAGGATCCACACAGAAAGAATCCATACTCCACTCAGTTTGCCTCTGCCCAGTGTGTGTTCGACCGTTTGCCTGATGGACGGCACCCACGGAAAGGAGGTGGAGGAAGAGACCATGAACCAAGCGCTCATGGCCAGTAAAGCAAAGAGTGTAGCGGCAGGGTCTGGGGAATCCTCCCGGCCTGTCACTGAGATCCCAAGCCAGAAGCTATCGCAATGCCATGCATGCCCGCATCATCGCGGTCGGTCTGTTCATGTCCGTGCTGATGATCAACTGGTGCCAGGTGACAGATACTATGAAGAAGATCTGGAAGGTGAGGGGAGATGTCAATGTTACTCCGCTTCCAGGCAGGCGCTTCATCCTGGAATTCGCCGTCGAGGGAGACATGCGACATGCCATCCGCGGAGGTCCCTGGAGATACAGGGGCGATGCCTTCCTCGTCACCAAGCTGGAGGTGGGTATGGAGCCATCACTAATCCAGTTCAGTACGGTACCAATCTAGGTCCAGTTCCACAAAATCCCCATCTACCTGCTCTCCAAGAATCTCGCTAAACAGCTGGGCGAGAAGGTGGGTGATGTCCTCCTGGTGGATGTCAGCTCTCATGGAAATGTCAGCCAGAAATTCATCAGAGCAAGAGTTCTTCTGCCACTGCATGCTGCTCTTCAAAAGTCGATCACCCTGACCGATGAGGAGATGGAGGAGGAAGTGGTGACACAACTTTGGTATGAACGCCTTCCAAATTTTTGTTTGTACTGTGGTCTAATCAGGCACAAAGAACCCCAGTGTTTTGCACCAGAAGCAGGAAAAAAGATAAGATACTCAAAGGAGATCTGCGTCCCCCGGTCATCCAATGCGACCCCTGCTCTTGGCTCATGTCAAGGGGGCCGACGAGAGGAACACTGCTACTAGCCCCTACCCAGCCACAGCAGCAGATGGCGATAGAGGAGGTGGCCAATGGCGTGGCCAACCTGCTCGTGAAGGAGAACAGCAACTCCAACATGCCGACAAATAACAAAACGCAGTTGAACAGTTCTAGTTTAACTTTCAATCTCTAGGAGAGCAGCTTGTAACGAACCCTCTAGCCTCTCATCGATCAGAAGACATTGTAAAGCAGCCCTCAAATGATAGGCTGCTGCTATAAGCTTGTAGTACTTCATTGTACATCCCGAAAATGTAACAGATGAAGGAAAAAAAGACAACAGGCAGATAGGGAACAGTCCGACCCGACGTGTGCTCCTGTCCAAGATGCGAGAGCATGGCCGAGGTCAACCAGATAGCCACCATGACACTGATGAAGAGTTCAAGCACCAAAGCTCCGATACCGGTGACACTACACCACGCATCCAAAATCTGCCAAAGATAGAAAATTGTTGGAAAATGGGTCAGGTTTGGTAACAGGAGGAAGTTGAAGCTCAAAGCAAAATAATGCAACCAAAGCAGAACATGAATGTACTCAAGATGCACAATCAAAATTCAAAAGATTCGGACCTCCTACATTATCTCGAATGCCTAGGAGAGGAAGGAGTCAAAAGACCGAGAGCGATGGAAGAAAATTACGATATGATTGCTAACAACTAGCCCAAAAGCAGAATGCAGAACCAAAGACAAATTCTCAAGAAAGGAAGTCAACAGGGAAGAAGAAAATGAGGAAGGAGGTGGTTCGAAGCTACTGGGCTCGGGGCTCCCCATCAACCGACAGTGCAATGATAGCGCTGTCAGCGCCATGAGTATTCTAAGTCGGAACTGCTTGGGTGGGCCGACCACGGACAGCTTCAGAACTTGCCTCGCCTAGTGCAAACCTACAGGCCAAGTGTGGTTTTCATCTCCGAGACCGACAGAGAGACTGATTTGTGAAAGGGCTCCGCTATCGTCTAGGTCTAAATAATGTTTTAGTTTTACCAGGGAAAGGTAAGGGTGGTGGGCTTGCCTTGTTCTGGGATGACAATATTTCAGTAGAGCTAAAAAAGATAGAGCCTCACTTCATTGATGTAAACATTGTCCTTCCACCCTTTGCAATAAAATGGAGATGCACCTTTGTCTATGGTGAAGCTCGTGTTCAGGATAGGCACCTTATGTGTGAATTACTAAAAAGGATTAAGCCTCTTGGCTCTGGTCCTTGGCTGATGATGGGTGATTTTAATGAAACTATGTGGCAACATGAACATTTTTCAGCATCTCGCAGGGGAGAAAAACAGATGAGGGATTTTCAGAGATGTTTTGTCTGAATGCAACCTCCATGACTTGGGTTACCATGGGCTACCCTGGACTTATGATAACAAGCGGGATGGATCAAAAAATGTAAAGAGACGAATCGGTAGGGTTGTTGCTTGCCCAACATGGTCTAATGCATTCCCAGAACGTCACTACAGCATATTGCAAGTTTTCGATCTGATCACCTACCCATTTTGTTCAACCTGTTCAACATAGAGAATATTAGAACAGTAAAGCAATGCCATAAATATGAAGCTTACTGGGAAAGAGAGCCAAGCATGAATGACACTGTTAAAAAGGCATGGCTGAAACAGGAAGGAAATGAACATCTAGGCCAAATTGCTTCAAAACTTCAAGGGGTCATGTCAGACCTGAGAACCTGGAGCAAAAAAAACTATTGGATCTATGCCGAAGAAAGTGGATAAATACAGGAAAAGACTGGAGAAACTAGCACACAGTATAGATCCTACTGACAACATAGAAAGGAAAAAAATTGACAGCAGAATTGGAAGAGCTCTTGCATAAAGAAGTGCTCTGGAAGCAACGATCAAGAACCTTATGGCTAAAAGAGGGGGACAAAAACACTAGTTTCTTCCATAGGAAAGCGTCCTGGAGAGCAAAGAAAAATAGAATCTCAAGCATCCAAGACAATAATGGTCAGACTGTGTCAAATGAAATACAGATCGGCAAGTTAATGAAGTCTATACAAAAGATAACTCAGTGGAACCTGATTTAGTCATTGACAACTTGCAGGCGAGAGTAAACGATGACATGAATTTTTCTCTGTGCAAAACATTCACAGATGAGGAAATCAGTGATGCCTTATTTCAAATAGGTCCCCTAAAAGCTCCTGGACCTGATGGATTTCCAGCTAGATTCTTCCAAAGGAATTGGGACCTTAGAAAGGATGATGTAATCAAAGGAGTAAAGCAGTTTGTCGGTGTTTCGAGTTATCACCGATGAGTAAATTTCTAATATTGCGCGCCTGGCTCGGATGGTGTGCTTAGAGGACACGAGGTTTATACTGGTTCGGGCAGAAAATCCCTACGTCCAGTTTGTCGCTGCTGCTCGTGTTACTAGCTATCGGGTTCATAAACCCGGGGTACCTCATGGGTCTGCTTCCCAACAAAAGCTCGGCCCAGCAGACGACATTGCGAACAACACGCAACTCCTGGGCCGGCCAAAAAACCTAAAACAATAGGCCAGAAGGGCGATCTTCGACCGGAAGGCCTGGCCAAGAAGAGGACCGACGCTCGCTTCCGACTCCGGCCCGCCTCTCCGACCGGAAATCCTGGTCAAGGAGGAACGACGCTCGCTTCCGACTCCGGCCTGCCTTTTTGACCGGAAGGCCTAGCCAAGAAGGGACGATGCTCGCCTCCGACTTCGGCCCGCCTCTCCGACTTGAAGGCCTGGCTGGCTCACCTCCGACTCCGGCGCTCGCTTCCGACTCCGGCCCGCCTCTCCGACCGGAAGGCCTGGCCGAGAAGGAATGGCGCTCGCCTACGACTCCGACTCGCTTCTCCGACTAGAAGTACATCAAACCTCTGTTTACAGCTCTTCTCCGACAGGCGTAGTCGGAGCCAACTGGGACCAACCAACCGGGGACGCCCGCTCTGTGAGGACCTAGGAAACGAGCGGAGCAAGTAAGGCAGGGCGCTCAAGTCAACCGCAATACCAAGGACTGTTCCCTGTACACCTGCAGCACAGTACCGACAGGGCATGTCAGAAGGGTGCATTGCCACCTTCTAGGCATGTTAGCGTCCAAGCAGTGTTGTTGGCGCAGATGTTTGCCCTACAGTGTTGTGGGCGCCCTCAACTCCCATACTAGGCGAACACGGTAAAATCCCCCACATGCCTTTGGGCATGAACAGTGTTGTGGGCGCCATCATTTGCCATACATGATGAATACGGTAAAACCTCCCACATGCGTCTGACATAAACAGTGTTGTGGACGCCTACAATCATCATTGTACCCGACGGCGTGGGCAACAAGACTTAGTAGCATACATAAAACTCTCCCTCTCTCACTTGTAAGACCGTCCCCTTCATCTATAAAAGGGGATGCGCTCTCTCCCAATAAACGACTCTCCGACGATCGAATGATACACAAACGATTCAACCACCAGCGGATCGAACAACCTACGATCCGAATGATTCTAACAGAGCACACGCTCAAATACTTAGCATAAATATGAGCTCCCGTCTCTCTCGGCCCTTCGGTCCAGAGTCTGACTGAACCTCTTGCACCCCCATCTTACTCCTTCTCGTTTGTAACCCCACAGCAAACTTTGAGCACCTGGGCTTAGGAATAAAGTCTTTGACCGACTCAGACTGGACGTAGGGCACGTTGCCTGAACTAGTATAAACCATGTGTCATTGAGTGCTAGGCCACATCCGATCACAACGTATGGCAAAACTACAAATATTTACGTGTTGGTCACTTTTCTGCACCACCAGTTGGCGCCGTCCGTGGTGAAGACACCGTATGTTCACGCCTTTGGTCATCGGATGGCCAACCTTTCCGCCACCTTCGCCATGGCAGGCTCAAGCAATATGACTCGCTTCGGCTCACTGGAGCTTCCCACACTCCCACCTATTGGGATGTGGGTTCCACCCGTCTTCGAGTCATCCCAAGCCTTCCTCTTTGGAAGCCTGTACTTCATCGCCGATCGGCTCGGCGTGCTTCACCTCAGTGAGGAGGCACTTGTTTTGGCGCCCGTCGGAGGGGCGTCCTCCGTCGGCTCCGGGACTCTCGGCAACCTCAACGACGAGGCGCCTGTGCTTCGCTCTGAGCCTACGCTAGGCTCAAACCCCACTGTGAGTAATGTACGTACTGTTATTTACTTGCTATTTCATATTTTCCGCCGACTCTCTAGAGGGACCTCGTTGTCTCTACCGTGACTAGTTCCCCTATAGCCTCATGTCCCCCGCGGATGCGTACGCATGAGGGGCTCCGAAAGATGCTGGCGTCGCCCCCTCTCACATCCGAATTCATGGGGATGGCGGATTACGCTCCCGCCTCTTTCCACGACGACGTGGATGACGATGTTGAGAGCGATGGCTCCAGCATCGGCGACGTCGTGGCACCTAGCCACCCTCTGTCCCGCGAGTGTGCCATGGCAAACGCTCCGGGACAGCCACCGGTGGTGGTGGAGTCTCTTCAGACCCACACCCCTCCAGACCCTCGCGCGGATGCCCTCGCTTGTGCGTAGGCGCACAGCGAGGAGCTACGACAAAGGTGGCAGAACCAGCCGCCACCTATGCCGGCGTGCTAGGCACACCATGATGTGCCCCGTGCGCGTAACCCGGTGACCGGTGCCCGGGGTCGTGCCCGCCAGGTTTAGCGCAACATCATCGATGGGGGGAACGATCCCCGCAGTTCACTCGGGTCGTCCAGAACATCATCGCGGCAGCGATGCTTCTACATGGCCTTCTCAAGCCTGTCGACCCACAGCAGCAGGCGGTCCACTGGAACCTCTGGGCGCTGGTGGAGACCGCCGCTGTTCAACAGGCGGAGAGCTCCGTGTCGCGACACCGACTCATGGCCTCACTCCCCACTAGGGGAGAGGGGACGCACCAGACGTACTGCTCCATCCACTCGCTGCTACAGCCGCTGGGTGTGGAACAGGAGGACACAGCTGCACCGTGGCCTGACCTGGCGCCCGCTCTACACCGGCCACCTCTGCGCGAACGCCTCGGGCCGAACCAAGACGCTCGCAGCGTCATCAACAACCGGTGTCAGGCACGGCATGACGATGACGCCCATTGGGCGGCGGTGAGAGTAGGCAGCATGGGCTCCGACCGGACCATCGAGGGGACCAGGGAGACGCACCCCAGGCATGGTCGCTGATCGGACGACCGGAGTCCCAGCCCGGATGGCCTGGGACCCTGGGCCTTTGGCCGACGTGTCTAGAGAGCACCGTTCCGGCAGCGCTTCTAACCGCCTACCAACATCGCTAAGTATACCAGGGAGACGAACCCCGGTATATGGCTCGAAGACTTTCAACTCGCTTGCTGAGCCGACGGAGTGGATGATGATCACTTCATCATTCAGTACCTCCCCATCTGCGTGGGGGGACATGTTCGAGCATGGCTCGAATTCCTCCCGCATGACAGCATCTGCGACTGGGTGGACCTCAAGATGGTCTTCGTCAGGAACTTCCAGGGGACGTATGTCTGCCCTAGGAACTCCTGGGACCTCAAGAGCTGCCAATAGGAGCCCAACGAGTCCCTGTGGGATTACATCTGCAGGTTCTCAAAACGATGTAACTCCCTTCCTGATGTCGTCGATGCGGACGTCATCAGCGCATTCCTCTCTAGGACAACCTATGAGTCCCTGATCCACAAGCTTGGCTGTCTGAAGCCCCAGACCACCCGTGACCTGCTCGACGTTGCCACGAACCATGCCTCCGGTGAGGAGGCGATCGGAGCGGTCTTCAATGGAGGTCGGGACAAGGGCAAAGCCAAGCGTGAGGATCAAGATGAGGGCCCCTCCACGTAGAGGGGCAAAATGAACAAGAAGGATCGACGCCGACCGGCCAACTCCGTGTTAGTCATCACGATCGATCGCATGGTCAAGCA